TAATTTTTTGTAAGAAATAGTTTTGTTTAAAATAAATTGCATTACTTTTATTACTTTATATTATTTGTCAAAATTGACGGATCTGCGCAGTTTTGTATATTTCTTCGGGCAGTAGCTTTGACAATATTATACAGGACTGTTTATATTGATTGGATATCAAGAAAAAATATTTAATGAAAATTTCCTGTTACTACTTATCTATATTACAAGGAGCTCCTTATTCCCATATATGAAACTTACATAATTGCCAATTTTAAACTTTATTTTTATATAAATAGATAATTTAAAAATTTATTTTATTCAATAGATGGAAGACCAATAAGCTAATCTAATAAATATATTGAATAATATAGAGATGAATTTGATCAAAGGTTGATATCTTATATAATACAAGATCAATAATCTTTGCATTCATTTTAAATTTTTTTTTAAGTTATTCTTTGCTTTTTTGAAGACTGTTTATAGTTATAATGACAATATTTTTAAAATTTTTTGTCAATAAAAAGATGCCACTTAAAATAATTTTCCCAATCATAACAATATGTGGTTTTGATTCTCCTTCTTTTTTTACATTTGTGACTAAATATGTGAAAGTTCTGTATCTCAATGATGTAATAAGGTTTAAGTACATTTCAACTCTTAATTTTGCACAATTTTTTCATATTATAAAAAAACCTTCATAAACCTATAACAAAACTTTATAACCGTCTACGCTTTTAATTTCTTTTGTCATTTTTCGTAATCTCTTTTATGAACACCACAAGAACATTCTTAATTTATATTATACGAGTGCGTTTTCCACTACTCATACTATTTTTAAGCTTCGCAATTCATATTCTGAGTATTCGTAAATGTTTTATTTGTTTTAAAGTGCTTTTTCTCTCTTTTATTTTTGCATTTTAAAGGCGCTTCTGTTATTTGCAGAATTAGCTTTGGAACTGTGACAAATTTCATATGATGAAAATAATAATAGTCTTTACTTATTTCTATCTCTGAATATAAGAAATATATATATATATATATATGTCAGTGTGTGTATGTATGTGTGTGTTGATCGAGCGTTACATCAATAAACTTTTATGATTAATTTATATAGGTCTGTTTAATATTTCATAAATGTAAGATTGATATCAAACTTTTGCGATGAACTCTAGTGCTTAACCGAAACATATACGATTTTCAATAAACCCACCTAAAACTATTTAATTTTTATTGGTGTATTGTCAATTTATAAGAATTCAACTAATCCACCCTATATAAAATTTATCATGTAAATACAAATACTTGCTTTATAGATGATGCAATAAAATAGCAGCAATTTTTCTCATCTTTGAGTATTAATCAACTCTCTCATTAACTAGCAAAAAATTTATTTCATACGTATTAATTTATTAAAATTTTAAAACACTATTTATAAAACAATCATTCTTCACCAATTTACGTTCGCTTTATTAATTTTCATTAAAACTTCTTCACTACTGCAAATTAAATCTATTCAACGGTGTATATAAAAATACTAATTTAAAAAAGCTACTGCTTTTCATTTTCATTTTCAACAATTTTACTCTCTAAGACCTAAGTGAACATGATTTTTTTATTTGCTTTAACAGTATTTTTTTACAACCCTGGATATAGGGGTACTTCGAAGAGTTTCTCTCAAATTATGTATACGTATGTATATGTATATATATATGTATATGTATATATATATATATGTATATATATATATATATGTATATGTATATATATATATGTATATGTATATATATATATATATATATATATATATATATAATAAAACACAACATAAAATAAATTAGCCAAGTTAAAGAAATAAAAGATATCACCGAACAATAACAACGATTATTAATATAAAGATGCAAACTATGTCCATTAAATTTTCCATTTAACTCCTAGTTATAGAAATGTCTTTTTTTACAATTTTTCTAAAATTTCTCATCTATCTGATTATGAGTAATAAGGGCAGGCCAGTTGGTAAACAGATCCAAAATTTTACAAGATAATAGCAACATTATTTATCCAGTGAAAATACAAACTTTATGGGAACTGAGATTTCAACGTATATAACCCTGATCTGGTATTTCGAAAGAAATATTCATCAGCAGAAATGGAATAACTATTAAATTAAATCATATCGTATAAAAATTATTCTTTAACTTTTTCAATAGCTATTTCTTACTGATTTAACCTCTTTGTCAATATGAAGACTTATTTGGCATTTTTTACCCCATTCTTATGTAAGCATTTATAGAGGTTATGTAAAAAAATAATGAATCTAACTTAAAAATAGGAATACATCTTAGAAAACAATTAAATAACGTATACCTAAAAAATATAAGGTATCATGAATCAACACCAAAAAAAAAACTACTAACAAAAACAATACTTTTCGTATGAGTATTGATACATCCTCGTTTATCTCCTTATGGACAGCTAGGGGGCAACAGATCCAACGTATTTTTTTTTAATTTTAGAGAGACATTGTAAGAATTAATCTGATGGACGGTTATAACTTTTTCACCATATAATTTAAAATAGTATCATTAATAAACTTCATACAATGCTCGTTTTCGAGATAATTAAAGTGGACCTTTTTACCCGCGGACCATTACCCCGCTCTACCCTATCTTATATTTGTTTATTTTCTTTTTATGTGTTACCTGTTACATATAACCATGGACATAAAAAAAACATTAAATGAGACTGTTGCTTTTCATTTTGTCAATATACAACAGCACTTTTATACCTTTTCAAGTAAACATGAATTTTTTATTGCTTTAATAGTGTTTTTCGCCTCTCCGTGTTTGCGGGCACCCCAATAAATTCTCTGGAATTAGCGCCAGGTGGCTAATGGCATTCCCGTGAGATGGGTTGACTAGGGGTTGTAGAACTAACCCATTTTGCGGTCACAGGTAACTTAACACCATCCCTTAGTTGCAAACGAAGCAACTTAAGATAATAGACGGAGCCGAACTTATTTACTAAGTTTGCGAACTTTGCATTCTTTGCTCAATTAAGCATTCTCTATGGGGGCAATGGAAACTTTTATATAATTTCAGAGCGTAGTTTTATTTTTAATGCAACTTGGCAGACTTGTGTTCAATTCTGCGAAGTCACCGAAGATTTATTTTAAATTAGTGCAAAAACTTTAAAAAAACATTTTGTGAAAGGAATAGTGCTAATGAGATTTGGACCTATATACATACCTACTATATTAGATTAGTATTTATTATGCTTTATTGAAATACTTACATTATATTATTTTTTTTATAAATTATTAACTGTACTCGATCACGCGTTGCAGTGCTACGCAATTAAAACCGATTCTGTTACATTTACAAATTCATGATAATTAATTAATTAATATAATTAAGTGAATTTTCTTAATGTGGAACTGAAACTACCTCAGATGATCGATATCGTTTTTCATTTCATTTCTGAAAAATATTTTAAAAAATAGTGATCACTGACACTATCTTTCATGATTGTTTTTTAAACTATATTAGATGCATCTCTGAGTGAAATATCCCATTCAGCATCACAATATGTAATATAAGCTTATAAGCATATGAGTATTTTTTTATTGTCCGTAATTATACTTCATTATTATTAAACGACATACATCACAGCATATAACACATATCAAACAACCAACTATCGAATTATGTTCAGAAAATTTCCCAGTTATTGCCTAAATATAACTTTACGTTAAGTGCTGATAAGTGACTTTAGGCTATATGGTCATTGAATATAAGAATTAATAATTATTTCTTTATCAGTTTGATAAAAAAATCCTATGACCATTATTTAATCCAAATGTTAAATCCACTTGCCTTTTGTTTCAAATTAGATTTATCATATATACATATTTCTTAGGTTTTATTTATATTGCAAGATTTAGATATTAATCGCAAATTATTGGAACAATTTCTTTTATTTTAATCATGATTTTATCTTACATCTTATAGTATGATTTTGTTTAATAAAATACCACTAGATTCAAGATTAAACAAAATAAAAGTGATGTTTAAGGTAAATAACACTAATAGTGAAACATATAACATAATTATGGTTTAATTAACTTCCCGTAGGGTAAGTTATTAATTTAAATTTTAATTATGTACAGAATTGGTTGTTGGAACAATTTCTACCATTTAATATTAGGTTCTAAATGATATAATTTTGTATTAGGTTTCAAATTTAATCTGCAAACATTGTAGTACACTTGTTGTATAATTTTTGTTCATAAAAATGATACGATTGAAAATCAAACAAAATTATTGGACACATGGATATTTCAAACATTCAAATCAAATATTATTAATAATTGTCATTTATTAACTTAATGGAATGAGTATATAATTATGAATGATAAAAAAGTATGAGAATTAGGAATATAATTAGGAATAACTGCATATATTAATATTTTAATATTAATCGCAGATTTTTATACAATTTTAAATATATTAAATATGTAAATTGTTTAAATAAATATTACCATTTAATGAAGAACTAACAAAAATAATAATAATGTTTTTATTGATATATCACAAAAATATTATTGATATGAACATGAGAAATATGTGTTTGCATATTAATTAATCAATTGATATTTTGCAAAATCTCAATTTCTTAGGTTTTTTCTTAAAACGTATTGAAGAATCACTGATATAAAAATACTCACTCTCCCTTTTTCATTGCTTCTAATTTAATAAAATTAAATAAATAAACAATTTGGACAGAAATGAATAATAACTTTGTAGTATGAAATATATTTATTAAAAATTAGTTGACCATAAAAAGAATATAAAATAATTTACAGATAGCTTAAGTATATATAATTAATTTAATTTTCCTCAAGATTTTTTATTACTTTCGTAATTTTTTTATTAGATTTCAGAATTTAAAATCCCTACAATCCATTTTTAATACTTGTTTATATTTCCCTTATTGTTTTTCTTCAATCACCCTTTACCCTCTTATTTGTTACCCTTGAAGAAATGGTATGAACAGTAGGCGTCGTATCCGTGCACAAATCCTGCGATACATCCCAAATACTAAAAGAAAATATTTTCATTAAATTTTGTTTTAGATTTTCATGATTTTGTTAGATAAATATTTACATAAACTGCAGTCATCGCAGGATATGCCGAATATCCTGGTTGGATCAAATATATCGGGTATAGGAATACGTTGACGACGAAGCCTAAACATGATGATGCGCTGAGGTATGAAAAACAGGCTACTCCGTTAAACATCGTTTCCTGGAAGAAAAAAATAATTTAAAGAATTTATTTACTATAGTTGCAGATACGGAAGAATTTTTAAAAACCTATATTTGCTCTATAACCTATAAAATGAGACAACTCTTATATGAGATCCATTCTTAAATATTCATTTGTTATTTGCTTCATATTAGTATAAAGCTTCAAATAAAGTCTTATCATATAAACTGTCTGTTGAATGCAATTATATTAATAATTTTAATTTTATTTAATTTAGTAATGATTATTATTTTGATTTATTTATTCTGATGTAATTTCTTATAATTGTAAGCATTATCTGAAGACAATGGTGGACCCAATGGTTGTCTATTCTCTTTGTGATGAGATTATACTAGAGCTTTGTCTTAGCAAAATTGTATATATTTTAATAGGGATTTTATAAATATCTTGTAACACTATTAAAATCCTATTTAGATTTCTATATAGTTTCAAGTGAAAACTGATATTACTACTGCTTGTTATCAGGATGGTCGAAATGGCAAAATTGCATGGCCAATGCTCTTGCCACTTGATTCAGGAACTAGCCTAATACTTACATGAAATAATTTTCGACACAATTATTTGCACAAGATTAAAATTATGCTCCATATGTTTCAAATGATTAGAAATTTGTCAGTAATAAAATATTTTAATTAACATTTTTTTAAACACTACTTTTTTATTGGTGTATCCCCCTTAAGCTGCAAAATCGGTACCTTATCTAATTAATCCCTTCTGACTTACATAGTACTCTCAAATCCATCTGTACTTCATCATTTATATTCAAAATTTTATCAATAACCTCAAATACAATAAACACATATCTTACAAATAACTTGGTTTTAGAACAGAATAAAAACTAGTACTATTTTTTTTTCAATGAGGGTCTCTAAACTCGACTGATTTTAAAAATTTTAAGTTTATAGTTCAATAAAAAGTTTAAATTCTTAAAAACTTTGAGTAATTGTGTTATTATTTCTAATGTGGTTCTAGAAATGTTATTCACGGTTACGATTGAAGTTGAAATGAACAAAATTAATGAAAATTAACCAAATTAACCGAAAAATGGTCATGATTTCACCAAAGCTCTACTGTGCACTTAAAAGCTCATAAATCCCAATGAACGTGAGATAACTTTTTAACTTTCCGTAGGGTAAGTTATTGTAATCGTCCAAAAATCGAAATTGAAAATTTTTACATTTCTCGACGTTTTGAAGGTTTCTGAACATATTGGCATACCTTAAAAAAACGGATGTGTGTGTATGTATGTATCGATACAAATTTTCGTCTACGTTTTCAAAAAACATTTGATTCCTATTGATAGGGAGATGTGCTGATTAGTTTTTGGCAAACGCAGGTCCAGCAGTTACGGAGATAAAAAGCAAATAGTGCAGAAAATAGAAGTCGAGTTTTTGAGAGAACGAAGTATCCGATTTGAATGATCTAAAAAACATTCAATTAGTAATGATTGGGAGAAGTGGTTATTAGTTTAGGCAAAGGCAGACCCAGCCTATTTGAAGATACAGAGCTAAATGTGCAAAAAATGGCAGTTTTTGAGAGAACTAAGCGTCCGATTTAAATGATTCAAAGAACTTTCTGCTTGTTTTAACAAAATAATTGATTTTGGAAAAAAAATTTGTTTCAAATTTTTTTTCATTTCGTTACGGTACGGAAAGTTCCAGCAATTTGCCTTAAGGCAAGATGCCATACACCCACCCCAGTAGTTTCTAATTTATTTTAGGTCAGTTATGGTCAAAACTATCACCTGGTTTCGGTTCGACTTTAAGTTCTTCGACACCATGTTCATTAGTTTACATTTTAAATATTTGATTTATATCTGTTACTATATTTTTATGTTCACAAAATATTGATTTAATGTATTCCTAGTATTATAGTATCTTTTGATACTCTATGTCTAAAACCTGAAAGCTATTCCAAATTTGGTTACTTTACTCAGTTACTTTTCTGTTCTACGTATCTCAAGACAAAGATGATGTTGTCGAGTTGTTGAAGTTGATTTACCTAGACATGTTGCTAATTAGATTCTAATAACTGCTACTTACAAATATAGATTGACGTACTAGCTGGCACGTTCTACTGGAAATGAGATAGCAAATAATTAGTATGGTCGTGGTTAATAAACACGCCGAAGCCGAGGTTAGGAATCCGTGGAATGCCTGTCCCATCACGCCCGCCTGGCTAAGACCATAGTTCACCAGCAAACTCTGGCATATTCCTCCCAGAAACTACATATAATGATAAAATAAAAGTAAAATATAATTTATATAAGCTGAATATAGACTATAGACTAATATAGAGAATATCGTTTGAAATTCATATTGTCATGCGCCGTAAAATTGAAACGCAAAAGTTTTTGTAGAATTACTTTTTGACACGCCACGATCGAAGTATTCTTTCAAGCTTCTGGTTTTTATCAAGGATGGGTTAATTGCTTTCTATAAGTGTACAAAATCTTTGATTGATATTTGTATATTCATTATTTATAAGCAATCTACAATAAACACGTTGATCGCCATGTCAGTCATATGTGTCTGACACTAAGTAATTCTACATGAGCCTTGTAGACGCAAACGATACATTTGCAGTATATTCCAGTAGGGCCATGTTAAAGTAGAGCATAAAAAATCGTTTTTTTCCAGGAATTTTGGTAAAAAATATTTTCTTTGATACATTAAGTTTTCTTGATACATTTTTAACTAAATTATCTAATTAAGTTACCAAAGCCGATATGATTTTTTTTTTTGAATACTTAAATTGTGTAAAAAACTTATTCCAAGCAAGTTAAAATATTTAAAAATCTTTTTGGTTTTTAATGTTTTACTAGAATTTCAAGTTTAAAATATTGTTAAATATTTTTTTTCAATAATTTCATTATCATTGTTCATCTTATATCTAAATTCATCATGGTACAATATAATTAATTCGGGTTTCTGCAATTATAATTTTAAAATTTATTTGTAGATTTTAAACCTGCTTAAGAGTTTTGATTTTATATATTATACTAGCGTTTTTGTTTTGGGCCAAAAACAATTAGTGTTGTTCTACTCGGTATTCGTATTTAAATGGTTTTGGAAAAATGTTAGCGGTTATTATTATACTGAATACGTAACACTATTCAAAAAATCAAATTACTGGCGCATATTTAATTTATAATTGGATAATTAAATATTGATTAATATGGTTAATACATAGCCGTATGTATTACCTTCACAAAAAAATCAGAAATTTAAATTATCTAACACAATTTAGAAAAGTATGATACATTAAGAAATTGTATGATATACTTTACAGCAATTAATGGTTTAGTAGCCTTAGTTGATATTTTTTTGTTAGACTTAGTTCTTAATTGAAATATTCCAATGAGTTATCATAACTAATCTAATAATTTTAATTTATTTAAATCAGCAATTTATTATAATTTACAGTTATTGTAATTCAAATTTTTTACTCACTGCTTCCATTATTTTTATAACACCATGTTTAGTTGTCAAAAAATCCAAATTTATGCATGTGCAACATCTGCAACAGCAACATTTTAATCCTCCGGAAGAAAATGTTGTTGGATGGCATTCCTATTGCTATATGGCCTCTTCCAGCCATTTTAAATTTGAAAATTAATAATAATTAATATCACTCATTCATTATTGGTAGAAACACTTTATTAGCACTAGCAACATCACAATTTTAAAGTTAACACTAGGAGTAAATAACAAAATTTTAGTTGGTTTTCACTTATTTATCATAAGAATATATAAGAGAATTGTATATTTTCTAATTATGATTTTTATATTACAACTACATTTTGTGTTCAATAAATTTGAAACAAATGTTATTTTCAAAATTAACTTCTTTAGCCTACAAATAGATTTAAGCAAATGACGGCAACAGCCTCACAAGAATCTTGCGACTGCATTTGTATACATTATTTTTTTTGTGGGTGCATCTTGTCTTACACAAATTGCATACAGCCACAGTGGCGTAGAAATATTACTAATATTTCATTACTTTAAAAAAATCTATTTATTAGATATTCTTTAATTACTATGTCAACAAAGTAGGAAGTCAGTCTCTGTACTAGAAAGTAGTAGGTTACATAATTGTAATATATGAGCACTTATTGAAAAACATCCTGTGGTTTTATATGAAATAACTTACGTGAATGTTAACCACTCGATATGACAATATCTTATAATGGATAAGTGCAGCAAAAACTAGAAGCATTTCGCAATCAAGTTTCAATAAATAGAAAGTAAAATATTGCATATATAAATCGAAATGGTAGCAAATTGGAGAATTGAAAAAGATCAGAGGATTTAGATGTAATCACATATGAATATATGTATATATATATATATATATATATATATAAGGAATACAAAATTATATCAAGTACGGATATCTACCTATAGATATCTACATAATTTTTTATACAAACATCCTATTTTGACTGCCTGCTCTAAGGAATAATCTACTTTATATTAATGTATAGAGTATTATTATATAAATATTATCAGAAAAATAAATATAATTTTACCAACAACAGAGGTTATGGGCCCAAAACGCTCCCACTGTGCGTACTGGGCCCATAACCTCTGATAATATAATGTATGTATATATATAATATTAAATTAAAATACTTCTTAATTACAAATAGTGATACCATAGTAAAACGTTACTTTTATCTAAATCTATTAACAGCAATAAAATCACTTAAATTGAGCGTCATAAAAACTCATCCTTAAGGTTTATATCTATAATGAAATGTCTTAATTTAACTCGTAAAAAGTTTTAATTTATAAAAGAGTCTGGAATGCGTTCTCTACTTAAATAATTAATAGCAAAAATCTAATTATATAGTGACCAAAACCAAAGCTATGGTAAAGCAAATATATTCAAGTTGAAATAGCACTACTTCAAAGTACCAATAGTAGATTTTATACATTATTCTAGACTTTAAAGAGTTTTTATATTTATAGTTGATTTTAATTTTAATTTAAACAGTCAAGAATGATTGACGGATATGCTCGTCAAGGAGAAGTGACAGAATTTTGTGTATTGACGAGTATATTTGTCATGCGTGGGTACAATGTTTGACTATTGTCAATTTTCGTAAAAAAATAATTACAATAATTATAATAATTAAAACAAAGTTAATTGGATAAATGCATTTTTATTGATTAATTAGTTAAATATTTAATGAATATTAAATTCCAAATCTTTCATGATACTTATGAATTTTGCTGAAATATTTGATACCAAAGTCCTGGTATCTAATGCAGCTTCTGTTTTCTCTACTTTTACCTGCAAAATCGCTTATATTTATTTCTAATCTAATGACTTCACGATAATTGTGTGTAAAAATTTGATTTACGTTTGAGATAAATTTGCTTTCATTTACATTATAATTATTAATAACAATATGCAATTAGAGGTTACTAACTACCGATAGAGTAAAATCAATTAATAATATCTCAGACCGCCAGCTATTGCAAACAAATTGAATAAAACAATTAAACAACATAAAATTTTCGTTTATATCCAGAAATGCATCTTGTAAATCCTTCAGTACACATTGTGCACGAAGTATAGAAGTTAGGTTAGAGTTAGATTTTTAGAGAAACAATAATGATTATAATGATTGATTTGAATAAAATCAAATTTAATATATTTTTATTTTTTTATTATTTTTTTTTATTATATATACATTATTTTCATATCTCAGTCAGGCAGAGTTGCCTGGTATGAGAGATTATGAAAACAGTTTTTATACAAATATACTACTAATATATACTAATATACTACTACTAATATACATATATACACAGACACACAGACACACACATATATATATATATATATATATATATTTTTACATTATTTGATCACAATTGTCTATTCTTTTCGCAATCGTGTTCAGTAAAATTATTTCCTCATTCACTCTGCGAAAATAAATCTTCATTTTTCACTTTCTGTTTTATCTCCTAATGTGTCCATATATTCAAAAAACATTTATTGTACATCATTTACATTTTTTTAAATACATCTTGTAAATATATAATTCCACTTAAAACGCCACTGCTCTTAGAACATATTTAAGGAACTCCCGGTCGGGAAGTTCTATTTTTGGACGTAGGCACAATGACTTCGCGTGCGAGGGTCGTGGATCCACGGAGGGTATTAAGGGATTATTTAAAATACTCCAAGTACATTTATTATACAAAATAATTTTGCTTTTCATAAAAAGTGTTTTTATATGTATATTTTTAAATATTCGTTTTTAATTCAAATTTTATTCATACTTAAATACATTTAGGTGAAAAAGTTTATAGAGCTGATTTTTTGTTTGTTTTATGTGTTTGATACTATGATAAAAGAATATATAATCATACACAATATCACAATTACGACATAAG